GACTGGGTTTTAGCTCAAACCCAGGACATGATCTCTGAGTCTTAACTTTCATTGGTATATAGAAAAAATAAGTAGTTTAACAGGAAGAGGCATGTTGTGTCAAAATAAGGCCTACTATAGCTCACTATGTACAAAGTATGTTTGTCTACATGAACGAATTCAGAATTGTAATGGGCTTTCTTTCTATAGTTTATGCATTTATTACATGACTTCTAACTTTGAATGCTTTTTTCCCTAATTAAAACTCTGACTTTATTCTTTAATTATATATATTTTCCAGTTTGTTCAGTGGTGCAAGCATAATATGGGACTAAAATACATATATTTACTTCAGTGTTAATTACAATTAATGCTTCAATAATATTTATTTGTTAAACAAAACCGTATCTAGATTAGCTCTCTTAAATTATAGCTCATGTAGTGTTGCTTTGTAATCTTCACTTCAGCTACAGTTAATCTTAAAAGACACAAACGGGCCAGTTTCTTTATGAGAAGGGTTGTTATTTTGACATTTTTAAAAAAATACTTCTAAAAATGGTTTTGATTTCGTTTAGTTCTAAGTGTTTGCAAGTTTTTTCATTTGAGGTTGGTTTTTTTTGTACACAAATACGTTGTTTAAGGAACACCATGTAGTTGCTCAAGCTAACATATAATTCTGAACATTGAATCAACTCACAGTTCCCTAAGAATAGAGAATACCAGCAATACAGACATATCAAGTCTGCTGTGTGTCAGCTTTAAGATAAGGTTTTAGGAAGACCCTTTAATGCAATTGCAGTTATATGAATCCTCTTTACATGTAAAAGCAAAAACTTCATCAATACGAGCATGTTATGTGATCATAAGTAGTCTCTCTTTGTTTGATAATCTGAGAATGTTTACTTTGTGCTATTTACAGAAGTAAGACGGCTGCCTTAACAGACATCAGGATTAGGACCATGAATGAAGTTATAAGTGGTATGAAGATAATAAAGATGTATGCCTGGGAAAAATCTTTCGCTGAACTTGTGAATGGTTTAAGAAGGTAATCCTGGAAAGATACAGCTTTGTATATGATCTACATCTGTTTCTGTTTTTTTACGTGGCAATAAGTGCATTATTTCAGTACAGTTTACTTGAACTTCTTCAGCTTTTTTTTTGCAAAAACCTTTCTATAGCAAGAGTGAAGGAGTGAAAATACATCCGGGACAGAAAAGGAAAAGAAACTTTTGATATTTATAAATTTTGGAGGATTTTTATGCTTCCTTCTATGGATGTGCTTGAAAACACCAACTAATAAACTGCAGTAGTTATAATTGAACAATTTCATCCTCACAGTTCTGTAAAGTAATAGCAACGAAGCAATAAGCAGACATTTCCCGTCTGAGAAATATGTGGAATCTGACTCGCTGTCCTAAATGATAGCATCCTCAGGTAGTACTCTGCTTCCCTTTCTGTGTTTTGAAATACTGCTCAAACCATAGGGGAGGGTGGAGCAGGGAAAGACAGCAGCTCAGAAATTCTGTAGGTGTTCAGCTGGCAAGGACAGCTGAGTTTGGTATCCTAAGACATAGCAGTTCAGAGCTCCATAAGCATCTGATTTAAACTTAGTAATAAATTTGATTTTCAATCAGTATTTGTGCTTTTACGTGACAGTATAAGAGCATTCAGTGCAGAAGGATAACTGTAGGAGTTCAGGTACATATTTGTCATAATTTAATTTTCATATTACGTTCCTCTCCAGCATATGAGTAGAAACTTGTTATCCTGCTGTAGAGCCTTGGATTTTTAACTCTGTTAAAGTTTGTTTTATTTGGAATTACTTTTTTTTAATTAATTTTTTTCCTTTACATCCATGTGCAGGCTTGCAAACTTGCTAATCTTCCTTGAGACATGTCGTCCCACGCATATAATCCTTTCCTCCTTCGGATTGTAGGATCCTGTACTGATTGAATGTTCTTGACTGATTGAAAGCTTTGCTCTCTTGTTTGGAGGGAGAGAGAATATTTCGTTATTGAAAGCTTCCTTAATGGGTGTATTCACATCACTAAACTTCAGATTTCCAAATTCAACACCTCATTAGCAGTGGAGGCTTCCTTGTTAATGGTGGAGGGAAGTAAGCGCTTCCAAGACACATATTGAGCCCTCTTTCTTTAACTGTGCTATGGAAAGCTGGAGTTCAGAGTCTTACATTCAGCCAGGTGATTTATTGCCCAGTATTTCCCCAGTTGCTAAGATGACATCTGAACTTCTCCGTTGCTCTTTTTCCTGTGGCTGTCCGTGTTACTTTCCCTTCATGTAACTCCGTGCCTTAAGACAGTGTAGTATATTATATTCAGCCTGCAGGCAGGCTGTGATTTATCTGCTATTTATGAGGAGGAGCACAAAGAACTTGCTGATTATCCACAGATAGCAAGAGGATTATTAAGGATTATTAGAGGGTGGGAAAAGAGTTTCATCCAGGATTGTGGAAGTAATTGAATTACACCCAATTCAAATAGTTTACATACAAATGTTCTTTCACTGTACTCTGGAGGAGATCAGAGATTGTGAGCCCTTAAGCTGAAAAAATAAGTCTTTGAAACTCTTTGAAAGTCTCTCATTTCAGCCAATTTGGCAAGTATAGTGGGAAAGTTGCTTAACTAGTTTTCCAGTAGCGCATCCTGCACCCTTCTCCCCGTTAAGCGAGGCCTTAATTTACTTCAAATGGTATCATCAATTACTCGATAACTTGAGTTTCCAGTCTTAGTATATAGCTCTAGGTGGAAGGTAATCGAAATGATCTAGATTTTGCCTGAGAATTGCCAGAATATTTGGGAAGAGAAATTAGGGATTGTTTCAAGATTTCATATTCTATATTATTTCAAGCAGATAAAATTAGAATATATGGGGAAGGAGTAAGTCATACAGCTGTCTTGATAAAGAGGAAATATTATTTTAATAAGAAGTTAAGCCTGATGGTATCCACCTTGTAGATAGTACAGTAAAATTTTGAGGGTTGGACTTGATGAGTCATTTAGAAGTGGAAACTGAAATTTAACTGAAGTGAAAATTGAGAACATATGCATCAGCACCTGTTCGGTTGCTGGAGTGAAACTTATGTGTGTATGCGGTACTTCAGTCACTGTTTAGCTCGAGTAACGGCTGGCAGAACAATTGGCCTCACAGATCAATATTTTCTGAATTATGAACCAGAATTCCTAGAGCAAAAGAAGCCAGGAGCAGGGTCCAAACTGGGGAGGCTTTAAACTGAGATCAAAGGAAATGCGGCAAATCCTTTGATCCAGCTTGAGGAGCAGCAGCTGAATAATGGCAGATACTTGGGCCATGGGTGAACACTTAATCTATTGAAAGTTGCCCTTTTTTTACAACTGCAGAGTATCTGTTGATTTTAAGGAGTTTTGTGACTGAACTGGGCTGGATTTTAATGTTGGAAGGATAAGGAGTTTGTGAGTGCTTGGCCTTTATAAATAAGAGTTTCAGATTAAAATCTAAATTAAAATACTAGTTTGACCAAAGGAGAAAAAAAAAGAGTATTTTGGTTTTCTGTCTCTGAAAAAGAATCTTCTCTGCCTACTAAGGTATTGAATGTACTAATTTTCCCCACTCAGCTTATAAGCCTTTTAAATTATTTTTTTTTTATTTACCACATAACATACTTTTTATGCTATTTGCGTATGAGTTGGGGTGGTGCAAGGGGTGTATGATTTTACAAAAGTAAAATCCTGAGAGTGGGTTTCCCTCATCCAATTGTTGAGGGAGACTACAAGGAGAGAAACTGATGTGATTGTTTATATTTTGCTTTTTTTTTTTCTTTTAGGAAGGAGATTGCCATGGTTATGAAAAGCTCCTACCTTCGAGGACTGAACTTAGCCTCTTTCTTTGTGGCAAGCAAAATAACAGTGTTCATGACTTTCATGGCATACGTACTTCTCGGCAATGTTATATCTGCAAGTCGAGTGTTTGTTGCAGTGTCCCTGTACGGTGCAGTAAGACTGACAGTAACTCTCTTCTTCCCTGCGGCTGTTGAGAGAGTGTCCGAGGCGGTGATCAGCATACGCCGAATCAAGGTATGGTTATTGATTTGAGCGGTATGTGGATTTCTTCTTTTGTTCTAGCATTGTTTTAATGTCACCGACAAAACCAGCTGTATTTTTGTCTTGTGGTTTGAGATTTTTAATGGAGACCTAGGCAAGCTAGAGGTCTGAGTGGGGAGAAATCATATGAAATTTGACAAGGGCAAGTGTAGAGTTTTGCAGCTGGGAAAGAGCATGAGGACTGATGTGTTGGAGAGCAGCGTAGGAGAGGGGGACTTGGGGATTCTGGTGGACAGCAGGATGACTGTGAGCCAGCAATGTGCCCTCGTGGCCAAGAAGGCCAATGGCATCCTGGGGTGTATTAGAAGGGGAGTAGCTAGTAGGTCAAGAGGGACCTCCTGCCCCTCTACTCTGCCCTGGTGAGGCCACATCTGGAATATTGTGTCCAGTTCTGGGCCCCTCAGCTCAAGAGAGACAGGAACTGCTTGAGAGAGTCCAGCGCAGAGCCACAAAGATGCTGAAGGGAGTGGAACATCTCCCTGATGAGGAGAGGCTGAAGGAGCTGGGTCTCTTTAGCTTGGAGAAGAGGAGGCTGAGGGGTGACCTGATGAATGTTTACAAATATGCAAAGGTTAAGTGTCAGGAGGATGGAGCCAGGCTCTTCTCAGTGATGTCCAGTGACAAGACAAAGGGGCAACAGGTGCAAGCTGAAGCACAGGAAGTTTCACAAAAATATTAGGACAAACTTTTTCCCTGTGAGGGTGACAGAGCACTGGCACAGGCTGCCCTGGGAGGTTGTGGAGTCTCCTTCTCTGGAGACATTCAAAACCTGCCTGGACACGTTCCTGTGTGACCTACTGTAGGTGATCCTGCTCTGGCAGGAGGGCTGGACTAGGTGATCTTTCGACGTCCCTTCCAACCCCTAAAGTTCTGTGATTCTGTGACTCGCTGATTCTGTGATTCTGTGACTCTGTGAATAGCCTGTTTTGAATACTGAACATGTCTCTGTATATACACATTAGAAAATGTGACGTGCACTGTAGGGCAAGCTGAAACGTAGGAGAGAAGCGTACATGCTAAGAGGTGGATGTTTTGAAGTAACAGGAACAGGTGTACAAGTAGGCAGGTATGTTTGAATTGGCAGTTGGAGGACAGGCAGATGGGAGCTGCAGGATTCGTATTCATATTCCACGTGCACTACCCTGTCAGCTATGGAGGGTGGACGTGAGCCCAAGCTGGCATGTTGTGGCTGCTTTCGGTACCAGAGTGATGACTCTGAATCGCTAAGGATGAACATCGGTAATGCTGGTGGTTTTGGCAGATGGACTTGGTTTTGTTTGGACTGCTGTCTTTAGTGCATGTTGTGAATTAAATAGCCACGTTTGCTGTATGTACCAGTACTTTAGCTTAAACTGCAAGAGTGAAAGGCTTAAATGCAAAAAGCGTTTGGAATTTAAAACTTAAAAAATCTCAAATTGTGAGGTTATTGAATTAAAGCATGCTAACCATTTTAGAACTTAATTTTGAAAAAAACCCAACAGGTTAATCTAGTATACAATAGGGAAAACATCGTGTCACTGTGCCATTGCTTGACGAAGGTAGCTAGAAATTCCCTATTTCATTTTCTTCTCCATATGGTTGAATCTAGTACATCAGCTTTTTTGTTGATAAATTTTGTAACTGTACTAAGCCTGCACAAAACCCAATGTATTAACAGGTAGTATTTACCCTTCTAAGAAGCAGTTTGTAAAAGTTGATGCAAATGGAGTTAGAACAGGTTACTGTGTGAGAATCATGGCCACAGCAGTAATGTTGGCATTAACATGTATTATTACTACTAAACTGAGGGAGAGGAACGGAGTGCTAGTGATACTGGATGTTGCACACTGTCTTTTCTGTACTCTCATATACTCTCTGTCCAGCTGCGGGACAGTGCTCTTTCAAGGGACCTTTCAAGCTGTAGCTGTTGAGACACATGTATGGCTGAAGAAGATGCCTTCGGATCGGGAGACTGACACTTGAGCAGAGGCAGTCGTGATCTGTTCCTTTTTTTTTTTTCTTGTCACCGTTTCCAGCATATCCTAGTGATCACCTGATTTTGCTTCTGACAGCTGGTACCAACTCCCTTGCACTTATGATTCCTTGAGGATGATTTTTGGAAAAAAGCTCAAGAATTGAGGTTCATTGGGCAAAGAATTATCCTGATGAATCTGTGGCATCCTTGATGCTGTCACCAACTTTTTAGCCTCCATTTCCCAAAGTGTTTCAGGGTTGGACATTTTCGTACTGAATAACAAGATGCTGCCTGGCCAAATTGTGTTATTGAAATGCAGATAAGGGGAAAGGAATTTGGAGAAGAGAGTAGGAAGTACAGAAAAAAGTTATCAAGGTGGTGGCTAGTTGTATTTGGGTAAAGCTGAAGTTGTTTTAGGGAATTTTTTGTGGTTTTTTTTAAGAAGGTTCTTTCTCTTAGGTTTTGTAGCACAAGTGAGATTTCTACACTGATCGTAAAGTACACTGATGGAGAGAAGGAAGCAGGAGACACTACACTTCAGGTGACAATAGCATGATAGTTAGATGGGAAGGAGTAGTGTTTCCTCTATATTCGTTTTATACATGCATAAGAACTGTGTGACAAAAAGGATAGTGGTTTCCTTACTGTATTTGCCACCTTTTTCCCTCACCCTAGCCACACATTTGAGAACTGGTCTGCATCTGTTCTTGAAGTGTGGCCAGCAGGAGCAGGGATGTGATTCTGCCCCTGTGCTCAGCACTGGTGAGGCCTCACCTCGAGCCCTGTGTGCAGGTCTGGGCCCCTCAGTGCAAGAAAGACACTGAGGGGCTGGAGCGGGTCCAGAGGAGAGCAACGAGGCTGAGGAAGGGACTGGAGGGAAAGTGCTGTGAGGAGAGGCTGAGGGAGCTGGGTATGTTTAGCCTGGAGAAGAGGAGACTCAGGGGGGACCTGATCACTCTCTACAACTGCCTGAAGGGAGGGTGTAGTCAGGTGGGGGTCGGGCTCTTCTCCCGGGCAACCAGTGATAGGACGAGGGGGCCTGAAACTGTGTCAGGGGAGGGTTAGGTTGGATCTCAGGCAGCACTTCCTCACGGAGAAGGTCCTCACGGAGAGGGTGCTTAGGCACTGGGATGCACTGCCCGGGGAAGTGGTGGAGTCACTGTCCCTGGAGGGGTTTAAGGAGAGGCTGGATGTGGCACTTAGTGCTGCGGTCTGGCAATGTGGTGGTGTTGGATCGTCGGCTGGACTTGATGATCTCAGAGGTCTTTTCCAGCCTCAACGATTCTGTGATTCTGTGAAGCTCGTTCACTGTTTTGTGATGGAGCGATGGGCTCAAGGTCCCCTCGTGAAGCAAAGTGAGAGAGGTTGTTTTTTCTGAGGTTTATTTTGGCAGTGTGCAGAAAAGAGGGCAAGTTTCAGCAGGGTACAAAAGATAGAGGCTTCTCTTTTGCTTGAGATACGTGTGTGTATGCGTTGAATTTGCAGAGTGCTGCATTAAAACACTTGACTTCTAACTGCTCCCTGGGGTGACACCTGCCAGCTGGAGTTTGAGCAGGGCCGCTGTTCCTGTTAACACCTAGTAGTGCTGTTGGAGATTAAAATAATTTACTTGTAGGATATTAGAATTAATTGTGGGATAGCTTAAAATTAAAATGAATCACCATTTATTTTATGAGTGACATTGCTTAGCATAAGTAGGTAGATTTACCGAAGCCTTAGAATCACAGAATCACAGAACTTTAGGGGTTGGAAGGGATGTTGGAAGATCATCTAGTCCAACCCCCCTGCCAGAGCAGGATCACCTACAGTAGGTCACAGAGGAACGTATCCAGGCGGGTTTTAAATGTCTCCAGAGAAGGAGACTCCACAACCTCCCTGGGCAGCCTGTACCAGGGCTGTGTCACCCTCACAGGGAAGAAGTCTTTCCTACTGTCTTTGTGGAACCTCTTATGCTTCAGCTTGCACCTGTTGCCCCCTTGACCTGTCATTGGACATCCATGAGAAGAGCCTGGCTCTGTCCTCCTGACACTCACCCTTTACATATTTATAAACATTCATCAGGTCACCCCTCAGCCTCCTCCTCCAAGCTAAAAAGACCCAGCTCCTTCAGCCTTTCCTCATAAGGGAGATGTTCCACTCCCTTCATCTTTGTGACTTGCCTGTCCTTCTTGACCTGAGGGGCCCAGAAGTGGACCTACTAGCCACCCCCCTTGTAATACACCCCAGGATGCCATTGGTCTTCATGGCCATGAGGGCACATTGCTGGCTCATGGTCATCCTGCTGTCCACCAGAGCTCCTAGGTCCCTCTCCCCTACACTGCTCTCCAACAACCTAGACTGTGGACTTTTACCTAGGTACTGATTAGCTTAGACTGAAGAAAGACCCGGAAAGCAATTCTAATTTGCAAAGATAAGAGCAACAAAACCTGCATCCTCGAGATAAAGAAGAGAATGCCCACCTAGAGAGAGAGAGAGAAAGGATCCAATGAGGAAAAAAAAGGACTCCAGACCCAGATACTGCTGTTGAACTGAACCATCACATGAGGGGAGGTCAACTTCGACTGTACAAGTATAGTTGCCAAGGGATTTCTTTGTTCAGAGTCCCTCTCGGAGGGTTGAGCTGAAATAAACCAACTCTGTGGCAGAACCCAGGGACTGAAAACTTCTTTACAGTCAGGGGCTAAGGCTGGATCCAGCCACACCTACACTTCTCACTCTGTGAGGAAATTTACAAAGCAAGGGGGTCTAGTCAGAACCTCATGACTTGGCAGGAGGGGCTTCACAGACTCTTCAAAAGCAAGTGCTCTTCCTGCCCTGCCATGACTCCTGGTGTCCTCCTCCTGGTTCCTCTTAGTTACGACCTTCTGTAAGTCTTCAGCAGCTGTCTCGCATCTTCAGACTGTTAACTCGGTACTTGATAGCTAGTCTTGGTTTCTAAGAGCAAGACCATCCTTCTTTTCTCAAAACATTCTCTGCTAGAGCCCGTTTAAGGTTTTTATGCCCTGTGATTCAAAGCAGAACAGAACTTTTCTGGTTTTGCCTTAAAATTGTGGTAACTGTTATCCTTGGAAGTGTTCTTTGGAATTTGCCCCTTTCCTTTCCGTATTTGAGCTATTTATAATCCAGCATCAGGCAAGGCGTGTTAGAAGTGTGTGTGTGGTACTAAAGTGCACATTTGTGCAGCTTGAGGGGAAGATTCTCTGACTGGAATATAATGTAGAAGTATAGTAATGAAAGTGCAACCAACGAGGTATGCGGGTGTAAGCAATATTTTTTGTTAATGCCCTGGACTTTAAAAGAGGAGAGTTTTCAGATAGCGTTCTGCAGCCTTTTTGACACTTGAAGAATGCCTAAGAGGGACAGTGGACTGCTCCTTACTGGGTCCTTGTCCTTCCTTGAGTGAAACAGCGTGAGCCTTTACCATCAAAGCAGCAGAATGACAAGGTGTTGCACTGAGGGTTTCACCTCTTCTGCGTGGGAAAAAGGAGTTGAACAATTTTATGATTTGTCAGTGTTTCAAGGGAAAGACGGGGTGGGTTCTTAAGGTCTGTTTGCTTCGGGAATCCTGGCTTATTGAACAAGCAGTTGTTAGAGTCCTGTAGTGTTTCTACACTATTAAATCTGTGCTTCCGCCGTGGGGGGGAGGCATGGTCAACTAGTTAGAGGTACACCACTGGAGGAGTTGCACATTGCTCTGGAAATGTAATTCCTTGGTCGGTTTGTGATTGTCATCCCCTCCCTTGCTGCCCCCCTAATTAATACTCTGTATGCTGCTTCCAAAAATATGTGCTTGGGTTGCTTTCCTCTTCTCAGACTCACATTTCGCAATATCCTGTCCTTTTATTGCAGAATTTTCTGATACTTGATGAGGTCACGCACTTGAAGCCACAACTGCATGGCAATAATGAGAATGCCATTCTTCATGTGCAGGATTTGACTTGCTATTGGGATAAGGTAAATTTACTTCTAAATGTTAAAGTGTACTGGTGCTGCAGGCACTTCAAGTCTACCAAGTAGACTACAGAAGTACTCTATGTATAGTGTACTGATGTTTTGTATTCCATCTATGTGTGAGAATCCTTTTAGTATGTTAAGCTAACTGTAGAGTAGTTCTGAAAACACTATCAACACTATCAAACACTAGCATCTTAAAAGTAGCTATTCCTCAGTATTATACTAAATGAAAAGCTGTGCATTTCTATGTGAAAATACCTCTTGTTATTAAATAGCAGTGTATTGTAGCTGAGATACTTAAATTGGAATTAAGGACAGACAGCACACTAAGGTGGGCCTTAGCACATGTTTGGGCTTTTTTTGTGAACTGAATGCTGCTCAGTCCATTAGTCTAGAACCAGTACAATATTATACTTCTCATAACAGATTTGAAAGCTTTAGAGACTGGTCTACAGGTTTATGTTACTCTGTGCATTTTAATTGAGACTATTCAGCTACAAATTCTTCTTCGCTTAAAGTGAACCAAAACCACCAAAATGATTAGAAGGGATGATACACAGGTAATAAACCTATTATGTATCCTTTTCCTTAAGAAAGGCAAAGATTTACTATTGTTTATGTTTTAAACCTGCAACCGCTATGGTAAACAGCAATTGATGATGAATTGTTGGAGCTTCAGTCTCCATTAGAAATGCTGGAAGCTCTAAAAATGAATTTTGCATATAAATGTAATGCAAATAAGGTGTGTTATGTATTGCTGTTTATATAGCCTCTTCCTCTACATGTGCTATGTCCCAAGGAAGATAAAGTGTGAAAACATAAGTATCTGCTGCTTCTCAGCTACAAAAGAAAATTGCTATATTATTGTGCTTTACTCTCCCAGAGTTGTCTCTGTTACATAAATCTTTCTGAGACATTGAACAGATTTTAACAACAAATAATGGATACGAAAAACGTAATGGTGAATGCATTCTAATGCAAAATTGAATGTATTTCGTAGTCTTTGTTTTCTTACACTGATATCACTGTTAACAGTGTATAGGAAGTGATTGCATAATAAGCCCATAAAACACCTTCTCTTTTTTTTTTTTTCATGAGTTGTTTATCTTGCATAAAGCAGAGCAGCATGACTGGAATTACTGGTTTCCTTTTGATTTCAAAGGAAAAAAATGAAACCAACAAACCACCCACAAAACTGTTAATAAAATTTTCATTTTGGATATTTAATTGCAGTGTGCATGGGGGAGCAATAGTTCTCCCAGAACTATTAAGAGTTGCTCAGAAAGTTTCTCTTATATTCTCTTCCAATGATGCAAAATAATGGAGTTGTTCACTGAAAAGATGAGTTCTGAGAGAGAGCGAAGGTTCTAAAAGGAATAATAAAAATCTGCTTTCGTTTTGTCAAGTAATCAGCTTAGCTTGCTACCCTGGCTGGGCTTCTCAAGACTCTCTGGATCTCTGTACAGACGCTGTGCAGCTGGGTGATGATTTTTTTCAAGATTGTGAGCCAAAAGAGATACTTAAAAAATCCAAAAACCCACAAATGCAAAATCACTGGAAGTAAAAAAGGGATTATTAGCTAGGCTTTTAGGAAAACAACCTAACGTGGTGTGCTACAGTTTATCAAAAGATAAACAAAACTAATTAATTCATGGTCACACTCTTGTTTTACTAAGTATTATCTTGTGTCCCACGGGCTAGTCTGATAGCAGCATGGAACTAGGGATTTTTCAGCACGGGTTTTCATAGATGTGGCTTGAGTTTACGGAACAGTCTGTCTGCTCAGCTGAGCAACTTGAGGTTTAAAATTCAAACATTTGAAAAGAGGCCAAATCTATCCCTTGTAACTTTAGTCACTTAAATGAGGAGCCTAACGGTATAGTTTGGCTGTGCAGTATTTGATCTGTCTCCTAGGTGGGATAAATGGCTTCTTTCTCTTGCCTGTAGGGTGGATGAGCTCTCCCAAGGAGTTGCTGCCCTGAAGGGATCGTTCTTGTGCCCTCCTGTCCTTGCACTTTGTGTCTCTGGTCCCTCCCTTGTGCTGGTGTTAATGCTTGTGCGTAGGACGTTGGGCTGAACCAGTTCTGAGAAATGAAGCAATAGAAAATGAATCACTTCTCATGTCATCTGTTCTCTGATAGCAGAGTCCCACAAACAACCCATCGGTACGATTAGGGAAGAACAAGTGGCAGAGGAAGGGAAGCAAGACACACAGGTAGTTGACAGAGCACTGAAGAGCTGTGGTAACAGTTTGTGTTAATGAGCTGTCCCATGAACTTGGCTGTAATATTAGTCTGTGCTCTTATTTAAGCGCCTCAGCTTAGTACCTAAAAATAGGTATAATGAATTTGGGGCAAATTGTCTTTAATTACAAGGACTGCTATTCTGCAAGAAATCTATGCCCCTTGGGTGTCTGCGCGGTTTGCTTATATTACCACTTTTGTGTAGGGTCTATGATATTTTACAAGACTTCTTTAATAGATAATATTTGGGTAATAATTTTAAAACATTTTTGAAATTTTCTGTAATGTTGTTAGGGTCTTATGTATTTTTTTGAAAATCTGAGTCTGGGAGGGAGTGTTTTTGCACTTTTGTGAATGCGGAACAATAACCTCCAGAGGTCTGAAGAAGGGAAAGCTTAACTTATTTTTTCCATATAGACTAATTGATTTAATAAGAGATATTTTCTCTTCCTACAAACTTTGCATTAAAGAAAACCATAAAACTTTGGCTGCCATAAGTTGATAGAGTTCCTCCAACCTTAGCACTAGCTGAGCACCTGAACTGTGTACTCTGGACCAAGAAATCAAATGCATCGTGAAATGCTGATTGGAGAGGGGGCAGGTGGAGGAAAGGAAAAAAGCCCCGTTGATGCCACCTTGTGGAAATCGATAATAGCAACAAAAATAGTTCTGCAGGGTTGCACAACGAGCCCAAGTTTCGGTTCTCATGGTGTGACTCCGGTTTCGTGTGAACCCTGCGGTGCTTCCGCGGGGTGGGAGCTGTGCTGGGGCATGCGCGGCCCAGAGCTCTGGGTGCACACGGTGCTGCCGAACCCAGTAGTTCTCCTGGCACGAGTGGGTGCGTGCGTGCTCGCCCAGCCCTCACAGGTGTGGATGGCTGCTGTACCTGTGCCTCTCCCAAATAGTTTGAAACGAGTTGCAAGCTTCCCCTTTCCACGGTCCCAGAACTTGGTCATGTGGCATCCTTCATTCGGGGTTGGGTCGTGACCTCTTCAGCCTCTTGAGCTTGGTTGGGGATTTTTAAGCAGTCTGTAAGCTGTTAAGACACACACTGGGATATTCTTCACCTTGCTCTTCTTTCTTGAAGCTTAAAACTGGGTTTTTGTTCGGTCCTTTAATAGAAATACTTCGCTTTTTTTTAAAATTCCTTTGGTTTTGTGTTTTCATTTTGGTGTCAGTCTAAGATACATGTAAAGGCAGATCCTGTTACAAAGGTGTTTTGCTTTAATGAATGGGAGCTGCATCAGGCCCTTAGGAACTGTGGTTTAACATAGCTATTAAAGATAAGAGCATTCTTTCTTTTCATAAGAAATAGGCGTTTTTACAACCTTGATAGGAGAGGTGCAAAATACATTTGGAAATAAGCTGTTATCAGTAATGTAACATAAAGGATAGGCATACTGAAAAGGAATATTAGACAAACAATCCTACAGTAGTATATTTTCACACAAATAGCTCACAATCTTGTCCATGAGAAGTCCCCAAGAATCTGCAATACACAAGATGGATTTATGTGAAATCAAATAATGTTTTTCTATTTTCACTTTGGATAGAGCAAACACAGACCTGGCTTTCCTGGGGCTCCAAGAGAGTTTCAACCCTCCCTTTTTTCCAGCATTTGTCCAGCTGTTTGAGTCAGCTGGCGTGCCGTGCGAGGCTGTGAATGCTGGTATGATGCCCAGCAGATAGCTCCTGTGGCCGAGGCTGCCACCTTAGCGAGGATGCTTTGAGGAAGCGCCGCTTCTGCTGCCTTTGGTTTCCTTATTCCTCAAACACTGTTTTTTTCTGTCTTACTTTTTTGTGGCGAGAGATCAGAGTCTTTCCAAAGCGCCTGTGAACCACTGAAGAAGCAAACTGTATGCCTGCAAATGTAGCGGGCGTATGAGTTGCTAATTTATAGTGATTTCTGTGCATTGTTCTCTGTTTTTAAAGAGTGTTTTTGATGGTTTGTGTATCGTTGCTGAGGAAACCTTACTTTTTCTCCGATCTATAGAGTTCAGAAAGCCCAGCACTTCAACAAGTTTCATTTACTGTCAGACGAGGGGAATTGTTGGCTGTGATTGGTCCTGTAGGAGCTGGAAAAGTAAGTCTTAATGTTTACTCCATTCTCTGGGGTTTTTATGAGTCTGTTAAAAATGTATAGTTCCTTTCTGTGTATAATAAAACACTTCATATCAAGATAGCTGTATCAAGATACAACTAATCTGCTGTTAGCAGTAGTTTGAGTGACAGAGTGAAATAGACCAGTGAGCCAGTAAACACTGCTTAGTCTCTGTGAGGTCTTTAGTGCAATCAAACTTTGAAAATTCTATTTTTTTTAATCTTTTCCAGTCTTCGCTCTTAAGTGCTGTGCTTGGTGAGCTACCTAAAGACAAAGGTTTGATAAATGTTACTGGAAGAATTGCCTATGTTTCTCAGCAGCCTTGGGTGTTTTCTGGTACCGTAAGAAGTAATATACTGTTTGACAAGGAATATGAGAAAGAAAAATATGAAAAAGTTTTAAAAGTCTGCGCTCTCAAAAAGGTATGATTTTCTCATTTTGTTTGTCATTTTCATGATCTTTATTTTTATCTTGGTGTTGTTTCAGACTTGTACTATGTGTTGCAATATGTAATGTATAGAATCGATTATTATTAGTAGCATCTAAAATATCCTATTGCTTCATAGAAATAGGTGGAATTATTTTTTGACATCCCATGTGTAAGCACATTCTTGTAATTCCTAAAACTTTCACTAGAGGGAGGTGTAGCTTACGTGAAGCACAGAAGAAGTCGGAAAAAGCTATTCCCAATTAGTTTCATAATGACATTTATCCCTTTGCACTGGTATTGTGGTAGGTGTGTGTGTGTAAATGCAATAAAAGGTGGAAAACAAATGATCAAGCTAGCGCTGTTTCTGACTTCCATTTTGTAAATGCCCTACATGCTTATTTAAAAATAAATGTCATGCATATCATGTTTTATACATTGCTAACAGCTAGCAAAAGAACCTTAGTGCTATATATCAGACAACTTGCTGAGTCCGAGTAGTTTTATGAAAAAATATTTTTGAAAGGTCTATGAGCAAAGGAGTTTGTGACGAGAGATATAGAAGAGGATTAAGCCAGATTTGTCAAGAAACCGACATTTTGCTTGGCAGCTAAAAAGGTTTTATGCGGCATGTTACGATATTTCTGTCAGCAGCAACACAGGTGAAAAGCAGATGGTTACTGCGATGAAAATTGTTTCGCAAGGTTTTTGCACATGGTAGACAGAGTTTTCGTATCTCCTGCTGATATTCAGTCATATACTGTTGTCTAAACTTAAGGTTTTAGTGACTTTGAAAGACAGCAAACTGCGTTTATAAAAAAAACACTTCATATTTGATGGTAGATTTGCTGTTATAGTTTTCTTTCAAATTTATGTGTCTTATAAAAGCTGTGAATAAACTTGCAGAATATGTTTTATAGCTTAATATAAAACTTCTGTGTTTACTGCATAGGAAATACAATTGTATGACGTGGAATGCTGTATAATTTTGTTCTCTTGCTCAGTCCCAAGCCCTGTAAATTAACCAAATTTGTGGTTATTTCTCTTGGATACATCGTAGTAAGAACAAGAGTAATACAGTTCTTAGGGACATTGACAAATAAATGGAAGATAATTTACTGATAATAGTTTAGTTTTGTTTATTGTGACAGCTCATTTTGTTCTAGTAAAAAATTAATTTACTATTCTTCTTCATATTTTTTTATTTGACTTTCTGAATCACCAGCGAATATTGCTTGTAACACTAAGAAAAGTAGTGCTTGTCCCTCTGGTAAAGCTGTAGAAAAAATGAACTTTAAGATCTCACTTGCTTTTCCTGCTTTCTTAATTATCTTTTGCTGAAGGACGAAATCATAAAGAAACTGCAGATATTTCATTTAGTATGAAATCTTCTATTTTAGTGTGAGACTAAAAGTTAATACTTTTCAAATAATAAAATGTTTTTTTTGAAGCAGCTTTGTCAATCTTTGAAATTAAAATGATTTTTTAAAAAAAGGTGATCTTACTGTCTGTTCTTTCATGTTCACAGGACTTGGAATTATTAGCAGATGGTGACCTCACGGTCATAGGAGATCGTGGAGCTACGCTGAGCGGTGGACAGAAAGCCCGTGTAAATCTGGCCAGGCTAGTGGTTTTTGCTGTTCCTAAAATTTGTAAATTGTCAGACTTTAGTGACTAGAGTAAACAAATGTAAGAATTCTTGATACTGACTTTTCTTTAAACCTTTTAGAGCTGTGTATCAAGATGCAGACATCTATCTTTTGGATGATCCACTGAGTGCAGTAGATGCTGAAGTTGGAAGACATTTGTTTGAAAAGTATGTTGCTCCTTTATTTTAATTTAAAATACAATTATTACCTTCTAATTCCTTATAGAAAAATTTGAGAAAACATTTTCCAGGAGGTGAATCTCTTTACAGAACTTAATGGGTTCACTTTTTGCATTTATTTTTCCTCTGTGTTATGTATTTGGAGGAGGTACAGCTTTTTTCCTCTGCATGTCTTTCATTTTGTTCTTTAAAAGGAAGTCCAGTAAAAGTCTGTTTAGAAGATATACAATTATAATTATTTGTAAGGTAATATGTGTTATTTTCTTGAGGAAAAATGTCAAATTTCACCTATGAGCATAGCGGGTTATTATGAATATTGGATTTTAAGAATGTTGGTCCTGAGTGATGAATAATATGAGGTGGAATTTTAAATCACTTCTTGATTTGCTGCAGCTTTATTTGCATAGTAATAAGCACTTGATTTGAGTGGCTAAATGAAGGGACAGAATTCTCTTAGATTCTGGAGTGATTTTTTTGTTTTCATTCTTGAATAGTTGAAATTTCTGTCAAGTAGATGAAACAGGGGAACCACGGCCTGCAGAGCAGAAATAGAGGAAAAGAATATATAAACTTACCATGAGAGGGAGAAATTGGATCTTCCTCAATTCCTGAAGAATTAGGAGAGCGTTCATTAAGTCTTCTCAATAAATTTCCTCTTCTCAGTCTCTCTTCTTTCAGACTACTTAATCTCTGGCACATAGTGAGTATGAGAATGATCCAGTTATTCTCAGCCAGTGTTTCATCCTTACTTTTTCTTAGCCTGTGACTTTTGGTGTCAGAAGATGTAATCTAGAGTTTATTAGAAGTAGAAGGAAAAACTGGCATTGGCTGAATTTGGTGAGCTTTGGTCGAAGTCTTAAATGAGTGTTTTCTTGAGCTTACTTACATCCTTTGAATTAATTTGATTTTACCGTTGTTCCCTCCTATTCACCCCTAGACAATCATAAAAACTTAACAGAAATGCTTATAGAATTTGCATTGACTGACATTGCGTGTGTGCTTTTTTTTCCAAGTTTGAAAATTGTACATCTTGTTGATGTTTGCAGTTTCAAATCTGGAGATCCCTCTGAAACTCCATCAACATTTTGGTGCATTTTACCCATTTCTTCAAATGGCTCCTGTTTGTTTCCGTTGTCCAGTATGAAGTAAGACTTTTATGATGAATAAGACTTTTAGGTTCATTATTCTGTGCAGGATCGTTTTCACCTGCCACAACTGATGGATGGAGTTCATTATTTCTGTAGTTCACATACTCTATCAAATTCCTCTAATACCTGTAGAAGCTCTCTAGGCTGTAGCCACTGCTCTTCTGTTTCTGCACAAGATCACTTTACAGCTCCAGTTCTGAAAGTGCACCCACTGGAGCTGTTGACCTGCCTCTCCCTTAAGCCTTAAGGTCTTTTCACAAAGAGGAGAGCAGGAAGGTACAGCAGCGTCTTGCAAAGGAAGAACTCAGGGTGCCTCTTTGATTTATTCTGCATTTTATGTGTCCTGTGACATTGGGAGCATCTGCATCCTACTGCACTACTGGAATTGTGGATTTTTCTACGTGCAAAGCCATAAAGGATCTAGAAGCTATTGCTCTGTGGGCACAGCGTGTTTTGCTGATAAATGTGTGGAGATGAGGAGGAATAAGGAGATTATCTCAGAGAATCTGAAACTCTGAAAACGAACTGGGTTCCTCCTTTACTCTCTCATTTGCTCCTCCCCACCAATTCTAGATCAGTTTGAACGAAACAGATAAAAGTAGAATGAAGAATTTTTTGGAGAAAATGGACTGGGTGGAGTAGTAGCGGCAGGAAAAACGGAGCAATGCCTTCCTGTTCAAGATCTTAAGGGAAGGCTTTTTTTACAAACACAAGTTGTCTTCTGAGGCCTTCAAGGCAGCTATAAAAGGTGCTGGGGGTAGCGGGAAGAGTGTTAAGTAGCTCACTTTGAAAAACAAGGCAGGGCATGTTTTTTAATGTTTCCTGAATAGTGCTAGAAATGCAAAGAAGAGAGAGAGAGAGCACTTGGGCAAGAATGACTTCTTAGAACATGGTGCTGAGGAATTTCCGAGACACCACTTCATACAAGCTGCCCCCAGGAGTCCAAACCACGAGGCATAAAACAATGGAGGAGATGGAAGAAACAGGGGATTGTTTAATGAGAATCTGAAGGGAATATTGTTCAGTTCACTCGATCTTTTTTTTTTTCCCCCCCCTTGTAATTTTACATTAATGTTTAATTTTTTTGAAGCATCTAGTCTATGTGTTTACATCAAAGATAGGTATGTTCCTTGTAATTCCCCAAAGCTACAGTTCGTGGATGGCTGGCTCACTACATTTGCTTCTTCTTCCTGATCTATTCAGCTACTGCAGTAAACAGTTTAAAATACATAAATGTTTTTCAAAGAGAAAGAATGTGAGTAGCACAGCTCCAGTGGGAAAGCCATCCACGATATTATTAATAAACGATTATGTCTCTTAAGAATTTCTCCATAATACAGATGAGTTGTTCCGTGCATGATGGAGCAGATAAAGCCAGCTTTCAATGAATTCCTCTCTCCTGGTCAGGTTCCTCGGGGCCTAGTAAGGTATAAACTGGAGATTCCCTATTTTTATGTTATTTGTAGTCTCTTTTTTCGTGACTTCTCTTGATAGTTAACAGTAGGCGTGCTTCAACCTCTTCCTAATTAAGGGGGATGGGCACTAAAACAGTTCTGTGTTCTTATATATATTTATGTGTGCATATGAAGATATGCATATATTATATATATATAGATATATATGTTCATATATAACTTCTATGGAATGTGGTATTTGGAGACCTCTAGTTTTTAAATGAGAGACAACCATAGAGATACAGTAGCACATTTTCTTGTGTGATAAAGTTTGAAATAGCCTGTGAAGTTCTAAGAAAGTCAGTCGTGCTTGGATCTCAATAAATTTCCTGCTCTCCCTGTGCATCTTGGTAAACATTTCTGTAGATTATATGATTTCAGATCATATAATTCAGATCAGTCTGATTTCTTTTTGTTTCTCCTCTGTGCTTGTGAGAGTAGACAGAGTTGCAGAACAGTTTGAGAATCTTTTAAATCAGACCTAAAGTTGTGATGATACTTGGGAGTCGTATGCACAGGTGTATAATTTTTACTATCAAACAGAGTTCTGCAAATCTTTTTTAAGGAGAAAGCTGTTTTGAACGTATGGTCGTTTATATTTTCTCTCTGGATTTTTGCCTCTGGAACTAGATTAAAGCTGCAGAAGAAATCACTGCGTCTGTTTAGCATCTATTCAAATGGAATACCTGGTACTTGCCAGTGGCCTCCCATAAGGACTCAAGGGATGTGCAAATGAGCAATGGTCATGGGATAAACATGTGTTGGGGCTGACAGGCCAGGTGTCCTGGAAGATAAAGTCTCTGCATTGCCATCTGAGGTAACTGAGCATTCCTGTGCAGGAGAGGGAATGGAGCAAGCGTGACTCTATAGCAAAAGCGTCCTTTGTAATTGCAGAAGAAGGTGAGGAAGAATTGAACCGGTGGCAAAGGCGAATGGGAAAATTCCATCATGCAAAGTGCATGGATTAACAGATCCTGAATTCCTGAGTGCATTCTTAGCTAAGCTCCAGAAGTGCTGGAGGGGAGGAGAAAAGTGAAGTAAAGAAAATTAGTAAACCCACTTTTTTTTAATTGTGGTTTGTTGGTTTTTTTTTAGTTAGCTATACAGAACTTAATATTTGCTTTGTCTGTTCAAAGTAATTTGATTTTTGGAACCCTTAGGAGTCCATGAATGCTTCCAGTCTCGTATCTCTCAAAGTGGAGTATGCTTGTAGGTCTCCTGGAACACTGCAGTTTTGAGGAAGAAGTGCTGTTATGGTGGTGTAGGTAATTAAAAGCAAGTGGAGCTCATCAGTCCTGTAAAGATAGTGGAGAAAAGCTAGCATGTCTCGTTTCTGTAGAGGGAGTACAGACACTATCAGTGTGTCAGAGGAGCCAAGCAAAGATAACCCCGGCATGTACTTGCCAGTGCTGTGTTTAAAGGCATATATGTATTACATGTTTTTGTCCACTGAGGACAAGTGTACAGGGGAGTAAGTGTGTAAATTTAAGGATTTTGCTCTCCTCTGTTTCAGGTAGGATCTCTGTAAATTGAGAATTATCTGTTCAGCTTCCTGCTCTGTGTTTCACACCTGTTCCATGCTCATGCCTCTGATGCACTGAAGTGGTTACAGCCCTGAAGCGAAATACTGAGGAAACTAGAATGCTCTGTACCTCTTTTTTGTGTTATAGATGTTTCTCTTAAAAATGTCTTGGTTATACCTTTACATTTAGATGATACAATTGAAATTCCTTGAGTTTCACTGTGTTTATTCTAGGGAATATGTTCAAAAGGTAGGAATATGTTTTAGTAATGTTTTTTAGGGTTTTGGATTTTTGTTGGTTTGGTTGTTGTTTTTTTCCCAGAAAGTGAAAAGCGTGTGTTCACTGTACATTGTGCTTTTTCAAAAAGCTGTAACATTTTACAGTTTTTGTCTTGCAGAAATGTGTGTGGTTTTGTTTTTGTTTTGTTTAAATCGCGTGATACAAAAGCAAAAAAACCCACTTGCCAAGCCCCGGGGTAGTAGTGTGCTTTAATGGTCTGTGGGTGCAGTTGCAAAACAGTATTATGAATACTAAACCAGAAATAAGCTGAAAAGGGAGGTATGCAAATTCATGTAGGAAAAGCTCACAAAGAGCTACTTAAGCACTTAGGATCTCTGACTCAAAAAGTCCCTAATATATGGACTTTGGAAACTGGAAATGTGTGTCAAAGAAAGCGTCACTGTGTGTTTGCTTATGTATTTTCTCCAGCCATCCACTGGGACAGTGGATTTTGTGGACCAGTTGTACTTACACGTTAGCCCAGTAGAGGCTGGGACTTATCACGAGATGGAGGTAAATGGTTCGAGACTGGGACTTATCACGAGATGGAGATAAATGGTTCGCAAGATAAGCTTAGGAATAGAAACAGCTTGGTAGAAGTAGGTGCGGGGATTTTTTTTGTCTCTGGTAAAAATACTACACTTTTTTGCTGTTGTTCTGAAATTCTGTAAACTTCAAAATGTACAAAAGCAAGTGAGGGACTGTTCTCCCTAAACCACTTAAATTTAAAGGGAAGGAAGAGGAAAGCAAATGTAGCGAGTAAATTAATATAACAAAGACTTTATGCCTGTGAGCACTTCTGCATGTGCTTTAATTTCATTTCAGTGGTTATTTTCATTGAAACAAATATAAGTATTAACTAGAGTAAAGTTAAACTTGCATGTGAACTTCCGAAAAGGAGAGGCAAAAAGAATGGTAAGGAAGAAAGTGGAATCATTAAAGAAGAGACACTTTGCAGAGGTGAAAGAAAGCTGGTTCTTGAAGATAAAAACTTAAAAAAGATTAAAGAATAACTTTCTCAGAGAAAAGAAAACCTGATAGGGAGGGAGGAACAAATGAGCATTTGTATGCACGAAAGCAGCCTTTGCATAGACGCGCTGTGGTGTTATAGGACCCCCTCTGAGTAAGTATGTTCTGCTGCATGCTCTTCAGTATCAAAACTCGAGCTAATTTTAATTTTTCGCTGTATAGAAATTTGCTGCCAAAGTGCAAGGGGTTTTAAAATGGAAAATGGTGTGCTGTTACTTAGATTTGTTAACTTAAAATGTCATTTCTGTACTTATTTTTCTCAAATTGGAGGAGTGTAATTTCTGGAGAGATCTATCCTGAGTTGGTATTCCTGATGATGAGTGAATGTCATTGATGCTACATTTTCAGGTCTTAGAAAACCAGGCAATGTTTTGAGCCATTCAGGAGATGGACAGGGATTTGGAAAATCTTGGTTACAAGATGTGAATTACTAGATGCGCGCAGCAGGGATAAGTGCGAAGTGTCACCTCCGTGAACATACAATGAGCAGGGATCAGTCATGTGGCGATTTTATGGAAAAGGGAGGCGCAGATTGTGGTAGATCACAAATCCAGTATGGGTCAGCAATGTCATGCTCTTGTTAAAGAAACTGTGCCCTGGGTTTTAGGACCAGCGCTGTATCTGACAGTACAGGCATAGTAATCCTCTTATTATGTTTTGTGCCTGTAAGGTCTTAACTGGAATGTTACAATTTTGTGCACTTCCAAAAAATGTAGACCAGGTTGAGAGTCCAGCATAGACCATCAAGAACATCTGAGTGTCAAAGCAGGGAAGAGAGAAAACTATTTCACATTTAAAAGAAAAAGGAAAGGGAAGTGTTTGGGAGGGAGGTGGTATTTTTTTTTTGGATCTACAGGAAACAAAAAAAAAAGACATGAAAGAGAGAGACGTGTATAAAGGGACTGTGCATACAGGTATAAACTGGTCTGCTGTCCTCTGGGAAGCAGTGGATTTAAAGAGCACCAGAAGATGCATACTTGGACTTTAAAGGAAAAAATACAATTGTAATAGTAAAGGTAGCTTGCTCTTGGGATATATGTTCAAGGATGTTGAAACTTCTGTTGTTCAGCTCAAAATGAACAAACATACAGAACAACCTATCCAGAATCTGTCAAGTTTAAATTGATTCTTAACTTGGGGAAGAGGATGCAGCTTTCATGATCCCTTCATCCCCATTTTGCTTGTCCTGAAAAGGCTGAAGAAGCTTTGGGTCTTCTCTGTCCACGTCTCTTCTGTCTGTGTGTGTGTGTCTGCGCGTGCTCATAGATGTAATAAATGTGGCAATGGCGACTGCATTTTGTGCAGGAATTTGTCCTGCTGTCGTGTATTAGATGTGCCCACAGTCTATCAGATTAGGGTCCTTGAGAGGGTCACAGAGAAGCACAAGGAAGGTGAATTTTGTGGGGTTTTAAACAAGTGAAAAAGGTGGCGGCAGTTCTGGGTGTACTCCAGCAGACATCTGAACACATGGACCAGGTACATCCCCTGCTGAGTTCCCCGGATTTTCTGCATTGTCTGTGAGAAAGGGAGGCACTGTCACATAGTGGTTCACCTACAACTGGGTATTGTCTCACCTAAAACTGATGGTTGCTTTTCTTCAGCTACACAGAGCAGTATTTCTAAAAGTAGATGAGCAATCAAACTGTGTCTTGGTGAACTAGTTTGAAAACATAAATACTTATGGACTATTCTGCGGTGGGTTTTTTTCTCTTGTCAGTACTGAGACAATACCACATTTTTCACTAATAAGAATTCAGCAAGCTCTCAAGAGTTTTGTGCCAGCCCTTTTAACACGTTGGGTTTTGCTGAGCCTCTCTCTGAACTCTGGTTTCAGTCTTCTGTGGCAGCCAAGGCACCATGCAAACTTAAAGTTCACTGTAAACGGCAGAATGGATCTTGTCAAGTGGGATAGAGAATTATTTAAAAAAAAAAAATTTTTAAAAAGGTTTTGAACATAAAGCTCAAGTAGTTTGATGTTTTGAAGCAGATGTTGAAGTATGTACTCTTAGTATTTGACTAGTTTTGCAACTTCTGTGCTTCATGATACAGTATTTTAAATGACAAAATTTTCTACTGAGCTCTCTGAGCAGTGAGTTGTTTAACTCAGTAATAGATCCAAGTATACGCTCTTTGTTGCGATTTTTCCTCCCCGTGCTCATGCCAGTGAATTGTGACAACAATTTTTCTACTCGCCTGTTATCAACAAACTATTCAGCTAACTTCTTTCTACCCAGATAGACATCAAATCGAGAGTTGTTGTTGTTTTTTTTTAGAAATTCTCAATTGAGTGACCTGGTATATCAGTGGAAATTTATATTTCCACAGAGGTCATTTCTGCCTTCTCTCCTGAGATCAAGATCATGCAGGATGCTGTGCTGACAACTCTCACAGTTCTAATTGGTTTGCTCTGATGCTGCGATAACCCACTTTTTTTTCCCCCTCTTCTTTTTTTTTTCTCCCCCCTCCAAATGCAAACTTAAAATGCAGTGGAGTCACCCTGACTCAGGATCAAGATTTAAAGGTTTTTCAGCCTTTGGATTTTCTAGTGGCTAGTTTGTCCTAGAAAGCTGTTAGACATACATCTGACATACAGAAAAATCAGTGATCAAGGGATTAGGTAAGGGAAAGCTAGATCTCTTCGTGGTGAACACCTGATACATTCTCTTTTGGCAGCTTTCCTGCCAGGCAAGTAAATATCCTGTAGCCTCCGATTTTTGTCCATCCTTCTCGATAGTTTTTGTTAAAGGTGATGTTATGTTGCGCATCTTTAGCTGGTGCAATGAGAGTGTTGGTAGTGTTGGATCTCAGCTGTGTCTGTGCTGTCCCTGTTGTACATGAAGAGCATGCTCGCAGACCTCTACACTTAGAAGCCATTGCTCTGTGCTGTATTTTTGATTGGCTTGGGTTTTTTTTGGCTTTGGTGGCCTTTCAAGTCTGCTGAAAAGTCATCAGATGTCTTTTCTGCTAAAAACTGCATGGGACTGAACTCGCTGACTGGTTCTGATATTCTCAGTCCCTTCTTCGATTCTTCCTCAAAATCCCAAACTTCTGGGGAAGCGTCTAAGGTAAGCAGGTAAGGTGCTGGAGAGGAAGGGGAAAGCCTTGATTCGATTGGAAGACGTCAGAGGTGGTTGAAGGATGATCTTGCTCCTCTACCTCAATACCTACCTGGATATAGCTCAAATTAGTACTGTTGACTTCTCCAGAACTCTGTGGCTCACTTTCCACCTGCTCTGAAAGTTCATCTCAAAGAAATTACTTCTGTTGGCTTTATTTATCCATAGTTGTCCACAGTATGTTGCCCTGCTTTCTCTTTCCATTAATTTAATTTTTGATAAATACCCTCTTTGCATTTCAACTTAAGACATATACATTTGTTAGGAGGATGTTTAATGCAGTTTTAGTAAAATATCCTTATGATATTTTCTCCTCTTTCACCCCAGACAAGAAATACAAAATTTCTTCTCTGTAGTTTTGGAAACTTACAAAGTTAAATAAGTAACATATTTGTTAAGTGTAACTTTTATGAATCTAATAAGCCTGGACATCTTATTCGCTTGTTTTAAATACTGTGTAATTGAATAGAAGACTTTTTCCAGAAATAGTCAAAATGTTTTAGGACCTTTTTTTTTTTTTTTTATAAATCTTTCCATCTCTTTGCAGATGTATTTGTCAGGCCTTACACCAGAAGATCTCTGTTTTGGTCACTCATCAGTTGCAGTATCTCCGTGCTGCAAATCAGATTTTAATTTTAAAAGATGTAAGTGATGTCAGTGTCTATGCTTTTATATTTGACCTACTTTCTAATTATCCTTTTTTATGTAAAAATGAAAAAAATAATTGTATTTTTAGTTTTTAGTTATAACATCTGTCTATGTTTTTAAAGATTTATATGTTTTAAAAGATTTATAAATATCAAGTCGTTTTTTCTAAGAATACCTTCCCTGGAAAGTCTGTTTCTGCATATATGCATTCTTATATGCTGATTTTTATCTCACATATGTGTAATGTATTCTGAGAGAATTGCTTGTTTTGAGAATACGTTAATGCTTTGCTTTTATTCTTGTTTCTTATGCTTTTGTATGAATTAAGATCTATGTTGGATTTGCAGCCAGTCCCTTTTTAAAATTAAGGGTGAGAAATGGTCACAGATACCTTTGAGAATGAGCAGGCCTTCAGAGAAACTGATTCCTTCCAAACTTTGTTTTACCCGTTATTCTGAGGTAGAGGGAAAGTGCAAGGACTTCAGCTGTTTTCTTATATGATGTGGGTCTTTTGAGTTATTTTTTTAAGGTTGGGTGGTAGAGTACATGAAATGACTTTGAATGCATCACAGAGTTGCAAAAAAGGACATTAGTGACTTTTTGCTCCCATTCAGATACCTTTAATAGTTACAGCAGCTTTCTAGAAGTGAATTTGTGATAGGGCTGCAAGAAGTTGGGAAATGGTTTGTGCTGCTCCTTGTAGAGCTCCGTGATGACCAGAAAATGAAGCTGCTGTTTACCCCTTGCGTGGAGTAACATAGAAAGACTGACGGTTATGTATGTAGTTCCAACAGCTCGTCCTAAAGCTGTGCGTGGCTGTCTCCTGCAGCTTCTCCAAGGAGGTAACTCTCACCTGGCTGTGACTGGGACTTTCGTCATCCCATTTGTGTGCTCCTTGGCCTGGTTAGCTGCCAGAAAGAGACTAATTAGAGGGTGAAGAGCTTGTTTCTGCTCTTCTAAATGAGGAACTATGGTTAAGGGGCTTCAGTTTAGTTACTGCAGGGGGATATGTGCTCAGCAACTGCAGAACCTCAGAGGCAGCAAGTATGGATAGGAAAAATTGTCCTTTACAGAAAGTGTATAATGAAGATAATCAAAGCTTATGTTAATTGTAGGGTAAAATGGTGGGGAAAGGTACCTATTCAGAGTTCCTGAGATCTGGCATCGACTTTGCTTCCCTTTTGAAAAGAGATGAGGAGGCAGAACAGCCGTCTGTTCCAGGAACTCCCAACCTGAAGTCTGCCCGGAGCCGAACCTTCTCGGAGTCCTCTGTCTGGTCCCAGGATTCTTCTGTCCACTCACAGAAAGATGGAGCAGTGGAACAACCACCTGTGAGTGCTCCGAGGATAGACGTGTCTCAAATTGTTGTCTGGCTGGTTTTTAACTTAAACTTTAATAAGGGCTTTCCTTGCTGCATGAGAGTTTTGGGGGTTGTTGCACTGCGTTAGCAGGTGAGAGCTCGGCTGTGGAAAACGTGCGCAGGGCTGTGCCTGGCAGTCCTGCCACCTCCTGCATCTCACAGCTCTGTGCTGTCCTGTTCACACCCAGCAGGGTGAGTTTTGTCAGGTTCAACACCGGCACTGGTGGATGCAGCAAAGAATCCTGTAGGTGTCCAGAGGAACCGCGCTGCGCTTCCTTCATCCTGTCCTCTGACAGCAGTACTTGACAGGGCCAGTATCACTCTTTTGGGTGGCTTCTATCCATGCATTGCTGAGCTCACACTAATACCTTCCCTGAAACTCAGAGCTCTGGGAACTGCACGCAGACATGGCGGCTTTATACAAAATCTACATTTGCATGGCTGGCATCAGCATACTCACATGATCCTGAGCTGGCCCTGAGCAAGTCCCTTGGGATGCCACCGCGTTGCTCTCCACAGCCCTTAGGTGGGTGAGAACAGAATGCTTTGCATGGTGCCGGCTTGACTTCCAGTGCCTCATTATTTCTTGGTCTGCACGGTGCAAAAGCAGCCGTAAGGTGTCTGGGCTGTAAGGACTGGCCTTCTGCTGCTGTCGTTGCGTTCACATGAAACAGCTTGGGAGCCCTCTAACCCTGACAGACTTGTGGTGATGCCGCATCCATGGAACGAGTAATCCCTGTGTGTCCCTAATGATTGTCACTTTTATGCTGTGGGTATATGTCACTTGGTTTTCTTTTTTTACTTGCTTTGTTGTTACTTGCAAGGAGGTGATTAGAACTTTACAGGTTGTTTGTTACTCTGGGTATGTGTTAGTTGATTTTGGTGCATACTTGCAGAAGAATATTTACTTTAAATACTTTTCTGAAAAGGACTCTGAAAACAGAATCTTTCCCAAATCAAGGTCCTAATTTCCAGACCAGTTTTGACTGAAACTAGTATATAAGAAAAGGAAAACTTCCCTTAGTGATCAGTCAGAGTAAGTATTTCTGGCTGTAAATGGAGTCAGGTTACATTCTGTGATGCAGTGCAAAATAAAATCCTCACAGTGACATTTTGCAAAGTAGGTTTTTGAGTATTACTCCACTGATGCTAATGTTTTTTTTGTCCAAGCTATAGTTCCGATATTTAAGGTTCTTTATGTGTAGTCATTTTTATCTCCTTATTTAATTGTTTGCTAATTCTGAACCATGACTTTCAAGTGGCTTAGTGTGAATCTGTAACTGCAAGGTTGATGGGTTTTATTTTTATTTTTTTTTTAAGGCTGAAAATGCACTGGCTGCAGTGCCAGAGGAGAGTCGTTCTGAGGGAAAAATAAACTTTAAAGTTTACAGAAAATACTTCACTGCAGGAGCAAACTACTTTGTGATTTTTATACTTATAATATTCAATATTTTGGCACAGGTAAGTTGTTGGGAGCCACAATATTGAATGTATTTTTGGGCTTGCAATTTTGTGGGTTTTTTTTAAAGTGATGTATGCTTGTTACTGTGATGTTTCATCTAAAATATTTGGGAGCATGATGTTCTTTAATACTTCTGTATTACTTGGACAGGGGAATTGGACTAGATGATCTTTCAAGGTCCATTCCAACCCCTAACATTCTGTGATTCTATACAGTCTTGAGAAGTCTTACAGTGATACTTATTTCAATATTTGTAGTACTTCAGTAAAATAATAATTTTACTGGCAGCATACCACAGAAATTATAAGCCAGTCTTAATTTTTGAGACAGAGAACAAAATCATGAGGTGTATAAAGTAGTGTTTAACCAAGTGGAACAGTCAGTATGTTCCCAGTTGAGGAGAATCTGAGAGAAGCATTAAAAGAAAAGCTTGCCTGCAGATCACAGAATCACAGAATGTCAGGGGTTGGAAGGGACCTCAAATAAATGTGTGCTGTGAGAATGGCTAGAAGGAGGGTCACTGTTTAGCAGGATAAGAAAGCGAGAAAGAAGATAGGCAAGTATTGTGCGTCATGCCAACTGTATGTAGCATGTATGTAAAAAAATTTTTAAATTATTTTGAAACTTATTGAAAGAAATAGTGAGCTGAGGAAGCTGCATGAAGATAGTTTATTGCCTTTTTCTCTGTTCCCTGCTGAAAAAACTTAAATTCATTTCATGGAAATGATTGGACATGGCTGTAAAAGATGGTCTATATATTTAGATGTGTTACTTCCTCTTTGCTTGTCCTTGAATTGAGTCTGTTGGAAAGATACCAGAGCGAGATCAAATCTCTGCAGTAGACCACTCAGTACTTTAAATTCACGTGAACAGAGGTATGTTTTGAGATAAATAGTCCTGTTACAAGTTTGTAGTCACCTCTCAGCACAGAAGGAAGGTGGCAGTAGGAGTTTTTCCCTCCCTGTCTTCTCTCATCCTCCTTCAACCCTGTTTCTGGTAATTATCTCATATAAACACAAATTTCTGGACTGGTAACATCAGAAAGTTTGTTAATCAAAAAGCATTTTGGTATATCTCTAGCAGCAAATTTACGAACTGAAAAAGTGAGTTCTTTAATGTGCAATTAACATACATTAGGAGAGCTACTATATTTTGTTTACTTAAGTGTATTGCTTTCCTTCAGTTTGCTATCATATAAGGTAATGTAAGGTAACTTCTTTCTTTGTAGAGGGTTCTAATGCACCTTCTAATGTGCTTTGCAAATTGCTGCTGGTCTTGAAAGACTGGATGGCATACTTTCTTGAATATGTGATGTTTTCCCAGAGATCATGAAAGAATAGCAGGGAAATTTAATTTTCTAATTTTTTTTTTTCATTTTCTAAGATGATTCTTGTATTTGCCTCTTTTACTCAAGGTGGCATATGTGCTTCAGGACTGGTGGCTTTCTTACTGGTAAGTTGATAATAACTGGTCAGTCCTTTCTGCCTTCTCAGTCAAGTGCTGTTTGTCTAATAGAAGTCAGTGTTGTATGGGTGGTGGTGTGGAGAGAAACCTGTTCTAGGAAACTTCAGAATATGCTTGGTCTTTTCTAATCTCCACTTGTTTTGTGAGGGGAAAAAAAATATACTGAGGAGTAGCCTGTGAGTGTTTCTACTCATGGTGTGATTCATGACAGTATCGGTGCATGGGATCTTTTGAACCAAAGATTTCCACAGAGTTGAATCTAGAAACAGTTAAACATGCTCATGAATATTCGTAGGATGCGATTTCATGATCGTTATCTTCTGTATGCATTTCCACAGGGCAAATCATCAAGAAAAGTTGAATGTTACAACAAATGGAAATAATGGAGCAAATGAGACAGAACATCTAGATCTTCACTTTTATTTGGGAATTTATGCAGGTAATAACATATGTATGTGTGTGTGTCTAAAGAACTGTTCATTATCTGACCTAACATAATAAATAGTTGTGAGAGGTGAGAAGCAATGGCAGTGTGAGGAAATGTGATTGTTAGCAGTAACTGAGCCCGAGTCTTGCTTCCTGACTAAATTAGTAGGAATTAACAAAAAAAAAATCCAGCAGAAGAAATAAGTTGAATGCAGATTCTTAATTTGCTTTGCCTAGAGTTTGGCAAGTAAACTGGGAATTGAGTATTCAAAAAGTCAGTCACCATAAGGTTGTGGTTATTGTCTTTACTAATAGGTCATCGAGCTCAATCTTCAGTCATTATATGGATGGGCAAGAGGGATTAGAAATGGATACTCATTCTGTGCTGTTGTAAAACTTGGCATGGCTGCATTCCTTCTGAAGTGCCACAGCTAAAGAACGAGTTTTTAAAGAAAGTCATAGATTGATATGCAAAGCAAGATGTTAAAACACGTTTCAATATATTTCAGTAGGTCACCATATGCTTCTGGATATCCAGAAAAACAGATTGATCCTTGTATACAAACATCTTGAAATACTGCTCTGAAATGTAGTAAAAATTGACATAGTAAAATAATGCGTAGAAATATACTCTCAGACTCTGCTATTTAGCATTTCTAATGATGTACATTTTTTTATGACGTGGTAATTTCTTGATGGAGATGTAAATGGTAGGTCTGAGAAACAAGTGGAATACCAGAAGAATATGCACTGAATGTATTCAGAAACATCTCTCAGTGTTGAATGGATAGATGAAGGCTTTTTTGTTTAGGGTTTATTTTTGGGATCCACATGGTCTAAGTGCTTGACAGAAAACATTGTGCTTGGCCTGGGAAGCAACAATTTAGGAGCCAGATAAACTTGGCTCTTATTTTCTCTGTGTAATGTCTTATTTCATGAGCGGTTCCAGTGGACTGCACAGTATGATTAAGTGTAGCAAACTTGGCTTTCTTTGACCGTGTAACCTAAACCACATTACAGAAAATTTTAACCTTTCAGGCAAGTTTTGTTCTAGATAGCAGAACAGCGGAAGTTACCTTTATATTGAAATATGCAAGTGGCTTAGTGAGATATTTGCAGCAACTGACCAGGCAGCATTTACTTGCTTACACAAAATTGTAGGTGAAGTTGAAAGTTATGAAAAGATGGTAGGTTTTGTATGAAGTACATAATAATCTTACTTACCCTTTTCTGTAACCTCTGAAACAGTATAAATATAATTTTTATTTTATTTCTGATTCTCAGTGTCTGGAAAAAGAAAAATCACTGGAATAGTTCCTTCCTATTTCTAGTCATTTCTGTGTGATAAAGATTTAGAAGAGTAAAATTTCTGTTAGTGGGAAACACCTTTGGCCAGAACTGAGGTACCAGTTCCACACCTCTTCTATAACGTGAGCCTTCAGAGAATCCTTGTCTCTCTCATACTGAGGTGGTAAGCTTGTAAATGAGGAAAGCAAAAACCTTTGGCATGGGACAGAGGGAATGAAGCACTTGAAAGCAAGTCTCGGTCCTGCTGTTTCTCCCTGGTCATTAGGGGTTTTGGGGTGATATGTTTGGTGAGGGTCATGCCAGCAGCTTCCAGTGGCATCCAAGCCTGAGTGACATTGTACAGAAGTGTGGGTTCCCAGGCTGTGCTCCCTCTCCTCCCACTGCTCCCACAGACTGCTCTTAGGCACAGGCTTTGCCGCAGCCTCCTGCTTAGCACCTCTTCTCCTCCCTTTTTGCGTGGCCCAGCTTTCCTCTTTGGTTGCGTGCAGTTACTCTTGGAAAAGTTGTTTTCTTCTACCTGGCCTGGAATACAGCAGCCAGGACAAGGCAAACAAGGTCTCATCCCAGCCACGTCCTTTTTTTCTTCAAAACAACACTGTGCAGAACGTGGGCGATGAGCCGTGAGCAGACAAACGAAACGGCGCTGCCTTTTCTTGCATGCTGGGAGAATGCGGCAGTAAGCAGGGTGGAATAACTGATTGTCTTAACCACACCATATAATTTAAAACCTCATTCTTCCCCACTGTTAGTATAGCTGTACCTGAATTGTGTCCACTTTGACCTGTCCTTGGAATAGGTGGTGTTTTCTGTCGATAGTTAGGGCCTGTCTTAAGGGTGTCCACAAGGCTCGAGCATCTGGGCTTGTGGTGGCTGCACTTAGTTTCTGAAGCACCTGGAGCCTAGGAGGGCTGCCAGGTGTAACGGTAACCCCTTCACTGGTCACCTTCATCGACTAGGAATTTGGGCAGCCCCACTGGAAATCACACACGGCAAACAGCGGCAGCAGCAATCCCATTCTTCGTTTCCATCTCTTGCCCTGTAGCACCCCAGTCTTGTAAATGGAGATGTGCCCAGGAAAACGACAGTCTGCAGACCAATTCCCTAGAAGGGCTCTATTTCACATGGCATAAGGAATGCATCTTGCACTGTGTTAAAGAAATACACATAATTTAAAAGATTTGATGTGGTTTACAAGGGGAGGAATGGCACGAGTGGTTTGGGCTGATTGAGAATAACTCAAGGTTGTCTCTAAATAGCCATGTATATATTACTTGGTTAATACCTGCTGGCAAATGTTGAATCTTCACAGTGACCTCTGCAAGCCACAATTATACACGGCACTGTGAAATGAATTTCTTAGCAGAGCTGTTATGCAAAAGGTTTTAATACAGATTTATTTCATGGGTTAACAGACATTTCCTACATTTCTATAAAGTACCAATTCTTTCAAACTGAAAAAGAGAAATTGTTTATGATATGATGGTAACTGAAGCTAGTGGCAAATATATCTATATTCTGCCCTCAGTCTGAGTCCCCAAGCTGAAGTTTGGATTCTTGCTATATACAGAAGTCAACAAAATTTGGTTTTATTTCAGTTTAAATCTTTTTCTTGTGAAAGATTCATATCTGTATGCATGCTCGGTCCTTTTTTTTTTTCTTTCAGGATTAACAGTGGCTACAATACTGTTTGGCATAATAAGAAGTCTTCTGGTGTTTCAAGTTCTTGTTAATTCTGGTCAGAATTTGCACAACAAAATGTTTCAATCCATTTTGAAAGCTCCCGTCTTGTTTTTTGACAGAAATCCTATAGGTAAGTTTAATAACAAAAAAACCCTTAATGTTTAATGCGCCTCATTGATTATGTTAATTATACTATTTCTGGGCAATTAGGATTTTATAGTATTTTTACACATTTGTGTGTCTCTTTTTGCTGCTTTTACTTAAAATCTTTAACAGTGGGGTCTTTTGAAATTTAAAATTCAGAACGTTGACTGCTTACTGATGGTTGATCTTACTCTCTTCAGATGCAGTCTACAGAAAAATGAATTAGCTTTGAGCTTAGTGCTGTACATTGACCTGCTATTTGCATTGCTGTTCTGATCAGTTACACAGGGGTGTTCTGAATGGATATTAATGAATTTTGTGGGATATACCTTTCTTGGACTTCTCTTTGAAAGCTTAACTCCAACAATTATTTATTCTTTTAAAAAGTAATTTTAAGCATGTGTAGTAACCAACAGGTTTGAGAATCTGTATAGTTTACTATCCTTCCGGAATGCAAAAAAAGCATAAGACATGCAATTTAAAACCATAATCCAGATCCTTGTGTTCTTCAAAAGAAACGAGAGAAGCTGGAGGAGAGTGAAGATAGTGGGGAAATGGGAGTGGTTCTGGTTTTCTAGCCGGTCTTACATGAGAAACAGAAATCCAATGGTTTTCCTTCCCTTGAAGAAAAGGAACAAGGGCTTGTTCTCATAGTTCCAGAAGCTGTTTAATGATTGTGAGGCTATATAGGAACAGCTTTATTGTTTCAAAGAAATTAGTAATATTTTCAGGAAAAAAAAACTCACATGGAGAAAAGTTTTTTGTCCATAATTTGATGAATGAATTGTACAGTTTCCCTTTTTTAAAAAAAAAATTACAGCTGCAGAAGTTGAGGGCTATTTGTGTGGTCTACTTGTACTGTGAGTCTGTGGCAGTGTAAATTCAAGGCCACTGCAAAGGATTAGAAGTGAATCCATAAGCTCAGGAGACAGGTTAGTGGAGAGCTAGTGAGAGCATGTGCCTCAGAAGAAATCACAGTACTGATGGGTTTTGTTGTCAGATAGGCAGGGATTTTCCTCTCTCCCCCCCCGCCTTTTTTTTTTTTTGGTGTTTGCATGTGCGCAGTAACATGAGGGAATACATCATAATCATCTCGTAAGAATGACCGTAAACCTGGCTCATGATAACTAAGAACCACAGAGCCAGCATCAGCGACAATGTAGAGTAATAAATAACGGTTTGCTTTGTCACATACTGAGAAGCTCAAATTAGCAGTGCTTTGTAAAAATGCTATTCGTAAAACCTCCCTATCACTGGTATTCACACACTGTCGTGACTTACAGATGTGTATTTCTGTTTATTAGGAGATATTGCATAACAGAAGATTAACTTCACTGTGCATGCATTTCTTTCCTTTCATCTTTCTTTTGGTCGTGGTAGCATGCGAAGGTAATGCTGTTATGATCTATACATCTTTCGAAAAAGCAAAAAAGTAAAGGGAGAAGATGGCATATGAGATGATGCTCGTTCAGAACTGCAGCGTATAGCTCTTCTGAAATTGTGACAGCTGTATTTCATTGTCTCGTGTGTTTTTTTGCTCTGTGTTTATCTTTTAGAACTTCAGGTGTTATTTTATTGTACTAGGGTGAGATTTTTTCTTGAGTATTTTTTCCTTTCTTTCTTAACATGCCTTACTATGAAAGACATACTAAAAAGAGATTGGAAGTATTAAACACTCCTTTTTCTAGGGTTGTGATTATAAAAGCCAAGCCAAACTCTTAGTTATCATAGCCCATATTAACAAAGCTGCTATTGCAGTGTCAGATCTGTCATTTAGGCATCCAGCGTTTTCTCAGTATTTGTGTGAGATCTCTTAAGACTTTAGCAGAGGCAGTTACTGAACTGTTTTTTGCTGTTTTATTTATTGAAAAATAATTGGCAATTACATAATGCCATGGCCAGTACACACAATGATCCATGTTCCAAAGTCGAGGAAGGAAATTTGAATGAACAGGCATCCCAGGCTTTCGGTAGTTCTTTTTGGGGAAACAGACTAATGAGCAGCATCAGGGAGTCGACATTAGGAAATGGAAATATGTGGTGAATCATGACATGTCTGTCAGCTCCCAACAGTGTAGATCCAATCAGTCGTGGTGAATAAAATGGGATGACTTATTTCTAAAAAAAAATATGCTTTGTGAATCAGTTTAGGCATGAGCCCAAGATCTCTCTTTACAGATTACATTAGCAATATATAGGGAGGGGAAGGTTGTAAAGGGAATAGTAAGGAGTATCTTACCGAGATGATACAAGAAATGGAATGTATTTTTGGAACCTGGATTACATAGCAGAGACAGAAGAGGAACAGGAGGACCCTTCTCCTTTCGCCCTTCCCAACCAAAAATATTTGTATGTACACAGATTTCCCCTTTCTGTAATTTGGCATAGATCTAAAAATAGTTAGATGTTGCTGCTTTAAGTGTTGTTTTGTGTTGGAAGAACCTTATTAATAAATGATTGTCTCTTTCTTTCTTAAGCACTTAACGTAACCCTATTGAGCTCATAATCCTAAGTGACTAAAGCTTATTGTGTTACCCAGCATTCAGAAAGAATGATTGGATGTTTATGACTGAAATTCAAATTTGTCAGCAGATATTTATACAGCATCACTTAAACAGCTGTAGCGAAAGCTCGATGCGAAGTTAGAGCTTAAGTGGTTGTGTTTTGGGCTTTTATCACAACTGAGTTGTCTGTGTTTGTTGACAGAACTTGTTTGGTTTTTCTAGTGTAAAATTCGACCCTCTTGGAACTTCCTTTGCTTTTCTATCTGTATCCCAGGAAGGGAATTGCTTGCCTGTTGAGGTATCTGTAAGGAGGAAAACATGGATGTTTTCTGCTTCATAGTGAATGCCTTATATATTCCTCTTCATGTGCCACTTGCAGGAATAAAGGGTCTGATTTCCATACACATCTAGCACAAGAGGGCAGCATGATCTGTTTTATCCCAGTCTTTATCCCGGCATTACAATAGCTTGTTAGAAGGATCACAAAATTTATCTGTTATGTTTTTCGTGATGATATTTGAGGAGTGAATTTTTAACCTCTGCTCTGAGTAGTAGTAGTATGATTCAGTTGTCCTCATTATCTGCAAGTATAGTATTTTCTCTTAATCTTTTACATGGTAAGCTTTTCATCTTCATGTAATGCTGAGTTCAGGAACTTTTTTGGCTTTGTAATTAGTGGCCAGAAGTCCGATAACCCTATAGATTCTGATACTTTGGTCCCATCAAGGAGACCTTCTTCAGTCATTATTCATTTTAATTTCTTTTTGAAGATGTTTGTGACATTTCAAAACAAATTTGATGGAAAGCTGGGTAAAAGAGACCAGGACTTTAGCAGCAATGACTTGAATTGGGAGTTCCCTCTTTTGAAATTAGTTTCTTATTGATAATTTTGGAGATCCTAGTTTTGACAAGCTTCAGGATTTGATTCAAGATTACTTGCTTAGCTTGTAAATGAATTGTCCTTTTCTGGGATTTGGAGACAGAGATTTCTTTAGAGAAGGGATGCTAATGTGCAACTGCATCACTTTCAGTAGTGGTAGTTTTAGTGGAGATTGTGTATAATTTTGAATTGCATTGAGATTGGGAAACTGAAACTTGCTGCTGCTCTAAGAATGAATGAATGATATGCATGAATTTGTTCAGATAAAATAGGAATCCATTCACCCTCCAGAGATCTGTCTAAAATTCAAATTGAACTAGGACCATCACAGAAATACACAGAAACACCTAGCTCTTATTTTCTTTTCTTTTTTTTTTTTTTTTTACATGCATCTCTCCAAACTCTTGGTTCTGACAGTTCGTAGAAAGAGGAGAAATCTTTTGGCAGACATTACAGCATTTCTGGCCTTCCTAGAAACAGAAAGCACTGAATTGTGTGGTGGTTGTCCTCGACCTGTTAAATTAGTAGATCTTAATTTTTTTTTCCTCCCACAAATGCTTTGTGGAAGCATTAAATAAACAGTCGTCCCTTTGGGTGCTTAACCTAGACTGAGATTTGACCAGGTTTTAAAGACAAATATCCCTCTGGTTTGGCAGCCAGAAATGACATGCTGAACTATAGCTGATAGCAGCACATAAAAGCAAACTCCGAATATTAAAAAGATTGAAACGTGAAAGAAAGCTGTTGTTTTAATGAAGAGTTTGTTTTTCTTTAAGGCATAAGGATTTTAATTATGGTGTTCATAAATCAAGTGTTGAAACACCTATAATTTGACAAAGTTTCTTTATAGGATTAAAAGCGTGTTCATCAGCACACAAGTGCCTATCTGCATTTTATCTGACAGAAGCGTCAAATGTTAAAGTGTTTAAACAGTATAATATTTGCAACAAATATGATATTTCAGCAGTCTGAAAATTACAATGCTGATAATGAGGTTGTTAAATTGTACTCTATCAGTTGGATACTGAAACTGCTCTAGTTAGTGTACATTAATGTATGCTTGTTCACACAAGTGATTCTGCTGAACAAGTAGCATGTTTAAACAAGAAATACTGGTCTTAAACCCTGTGATTTACAGTAGGTGGTGTTTTGGCATATCATGCAGTTAACAAGGCAAGGCTTCATGTTAAAATATTTCGTTTGTAGTCTCATTCATCACTGATATAAATATTCACTAGTGATGCCAGAAAATGTATTGTATTCCTATTTGACTCAACGACTCAATTGCTTTCTTCTTTCTTTTTTTTTTTGAAAACGAGATCTATGCTATCTTTCTGATGCAGTTTTCAGATATTTCCTTGTGGTCAATATGAATTCTGTGGGATTGTGAAAAACTCTCCTGGCTCTTTTGACAGCTTTCATGATCTCTTAAGCGAATACAAAAAAATACATTGTCCTTAAAGCAGCAGAGGCTTTGTTTTTGACTCTCTGTGCCAAGCTGTAAAGCGCATTCACGTGTTCTCAGGTTTGTTAGTTTATGTTGAAAAGAAGTCCCTATAGGACAGCCTTTTGTTCTAAAATAAAAACACAGATTCTCTCTTC